TATACGAAATATTTTTCTACGATATATTAAAAAACATATTAATGAGGTAATAAAGCTTAAAGTTTTTAATGATTTGCTAAGTTTGGTAGATTTGACCAAATAGTGTATCTATGAGATGACACGGTTAGAAATCACCTATGTGAGTGTGAAGTGGAAGCCGTTTCAAAGAAAATTTTATGTCAAAAGCCTATTCTCTATACACTCATGAAAACAGGAGGTGTTCATGGATGAAACAAACACAACTGTAAGAATCATAAACAGTAAAGGGTTAATTGTGTGACATATTGTTGTCTAGGTATACACCAAAGCTCGACGGTTCAAAGATATCACATCCATCGATTGACCGAGTATATCCGACATATGTTCACTACGGAAAGTCCAAGGAGAAACCTACTTATCCAGATGCAATTAATCCTTGCTTGTAAAGTACAATTGTCCATGCATTCCTATGTTATAACCATTCCCCATCAATGTGGGGGATTGTTGGGTATGTAGCAAGAATTGATGGGAAATAGAGGGAATGAGAGGAATTTGAAAAGTTGAGAACTTGAAGAGTTGGGAACTTCAAAAGTCTTCTTATGCTTTGATGGAAAAAAACAATTGTCCCTCATCGGTAATGGAAAGAAAAATAGGAGAGTTTAAATACATAAACACTCTTATTAATTTTTAAAAGGGTTGGAAAGAGGAACCCTCCTCGCGTCGTCGTCGCTCACTTCGGCTTCGGGCTTCGACAAATGATCGAGAGATTATTTTTTGGACAAAATTTATTTTAATTATTTATTTAATTAATTATATGACCAAATAATATTTTAATTAATTAGTTGGTAACAGAAGTTAACCGAAATGTTTTCAACTTTTTAGTTAACCGACCCGACTCGGATCCGCTCGCGTGACCCGTTTTATTTTTCTGTTTTATTTTAAATTCCCGCCAGGACTGTTCTGAAAGATTGCAACTTTCATGAACAGTCAATACCATTTGAAAGTTTGCAACCTTTCATGTTTGTGTCAATTCTGAAAGGGTTGCAACCTTTCAGAACATATTCTTCTTGCCTATAAATACAACTCATTCTTCAGAATATTTTCAAACGAATTTTCTGATCTTCATTCTTTTTATAAACACATTTTTTCTTCGTGTACGTTCCTGCTGTGGATTGATTCGCTGACAGGAGAGTTTTTGGTATCTACACTCTACTTATTAAGATCATTTTACCATGGGAGGTTATATTCCAAATCAAACCTCGAATACTAGAGGGGAATAATTTCCTTAAGGGGACACTGTGAGTTCAGTGGACTTGATCTTCTTACAAACTAAAAGATTGTTTCAGTTTCTGGTACGTTTGTTTTAAGTATTTTCTAAAATAATTTTCTGTTCATCTTGCTTATTGGTTCGATAAATTTCAGTTACTTCGTGTTTCTGAATAATTTATTACAATCAGTAATTTCTGGTTATAATAACATCAGATTGGGGAAAAACAATTAACAATTACAGCTACACAATACAACTAATTATTTAGCTCAGCCGTAGTTAGTTAGTATGTTACAAGTCATCAGCTTGCTTACTCATAATTGTAATTTGTTCTATGGCAGTTAGTTAGTTAGGATTTTTTTTCATATCTTTGATTCTTCTAGAATAGTCTCATCTACATGTATATAATGCTGGGTTCATCAATGAAACAGTATCAATTTTCATTCTCTTCAAACACAGAACTCTTAGCTTTCTTCGTGCCTTCCCTATTTCGTCTCAATTGAGTTTGTTGTATGTTTTGATAGTATGGAACCGTAACATTCCCACACTTGTTACGACATCCTGGTTTAGTGAAATTTCCACCTTTAGTAATGGTGGTGTGGATAGTATTAGTCGTATTTTGGGCAGTGGTTAATGTTAGTACACAAGCATAGAAACAGGCAATTTGGTAAGGAAGCAAATTCATCTGTTTTAGTTCCATAGTTTTTGAGAATTTCCAAGATGATTCGACCAACAACTTACGAATTTTTAACCAAACTAAGCCATTATATAAAACAATTTACCAAAGTAATATATTTTTCTAAAATTTTACAAAACTAGTATAAACGTATTTCACGATAACGTTTTAGGGTAAATTTTTTTTAAAAAAAATAACAGCATTAGGTTGATATATGTTATTGTAAGTAATATTTTACTCCTAAAACGTTATTTTCAGTAACGTTTTACTCCTAAAACGTTACTCCTAGTAACGTTTTAGGAGT